ACTTAAGTTTTTGGTAGTTTACCTTTAAACTTATCATTTTTTAATCTGAGATGCATAAGATGCAGTAGCTCTAAAAACTAGATAAAAGGTGAATATTTTGAAAGGGTGGAAGGTAGTTCGGCAGTCTAAACAATTAGTAAATAAAATCTAGAAACTCTACTTCAAATAGTTTTGTTTGTTTTTTTTTATAAATAAAAAGTATTTTTGAACTATTATTCTGAACCATATTTTGAACTATATTTTAATATTTTTTTATTGTATTTTATTTAGATATGAGTATAGTTTATGAAAATGACATTTATAATACAATAAGTGGCACCTAGAAAATGTGTATCAGGTTGAGATTGGATGATCATCCAGAACATTAGGCCAGAACGATGATAGTCAGAACTAGAAAAAAATAGCTGTGCATTGTTATATGTATTAAACTTTCAAATAAAATTATGTATTTAATATTGTCATTAATATATCATTTAAATTATCATATTTTGCTTTTTTTTTTCTTTTGAAAAATAAAAGCAAAATTTGTTGCAAGACCTTAGTAAACCATCGAATATGTTGAATTTACCTACACTGCTTCAAAAAATACTTCTATCGGCCTATCAGTATCAAGTCGATAACTATAATGAATTGGAACCTAAAGTAACTTCAGAAAATGTAATAATTAGACAGATTGTAATTGATTTATTAGTGAATATTAACACCAAAGAAGATACTATAAAATGGGTCAATAAGTTTTAAGAAAAATCCAAAACTCTATACCCTAACTTGAATGTATCCTGTTAAAGGAAGCAAGGTCATTTTTAGAGAAATATGATACTGTATTTACAGTACTTTAGTGAAACAAAAAAATAGTAACTGTAAAATCAAAAAACTACATAGGTTAAGAAATAGAAACACAAAATGTTCTGCAACACTTGGTCTTAGATTAAAAAATTCTAATTCTCTTGAAATTAATTTATGTTTTACTCATTATTATTTATCTAATTCTGCTGCTTTACTAAGCTTTCAACCAGTTAGGCCTGAGGCTCAAAACAAATATATTAATTTATTTAAGGCAAAACATTCTGCAGCATGACATGTTTATGAGGACAAATTACATTTATCAGCAACAAGTTGTGAAGAACTAGTATGATTATTAGCTGATAGATTAAAAAATCCAGATGAGGGTTTTATAAAATACCTTTATAACAAATTTCATGTTATGCATTTAGAGATCTAAATAGAAAGAGAATGTTTAACCGATTACAGGAAGTTGTAAATTTGTATAACATTTCTGGTAACGGAAAAGCAGTACTTCAAGTGTATAATTCTTTAAAATCAACATCCTTTATTCTTTATATTGTAATGAATTTAATAAAATGAGTTCATAAAAAAATTTATCAAGCTAGTGAATTATGTTATTTCAACACATCAGCTGCTTTTGACCAGCTTAACACAACAATCACACTCCTTTATACTAATTGTGCTGCTGGAGGGTTACCTTTAGGAATATTTTTAACGTCAGATGAATCTGAAGTTACTATTGAAAATGTTCTTAATCTGTTTAAAGAAATTTTACTGAATAGTTCATTTTATGAATGTGAATCACAACTTGGGCCTGCAGTTATTATGACAGATGATTCATATGCAGAGAGTAATACTCTTTTACTTTGCTGGCTAAATAGTATCAGATTGTTTTGTGTTTTTCATGTTTTGCAGTCAGTTTGAAGATGGCTATATAACAAAACATAAAATTTACAAAGACGATCAAACACTAATTATGCAGTTGTTCAAAAAAGTCTTATTTGGGCAACTATTTCTGAAATGAAAATCTCATTTTTTGACTTAAAAAAAAGCTACTTTACTAAATATACTTAGCTTGAAATATACATTTCACATCTTTGGAAATAACAAACTTCATAGGCACTAGCAAATTATTAAAATTTATTGATTCAAAAGAACCAAACAAATAACTACATTGAAAGGAGCTTTGGGCTTATTAAGGATCTTATTTTTGCTTAAACTCAGTCATATAATACTATACAGATATTTCATTTTATTACAACTAACATGGAGCATTTTTATGAACGGCAACTAATGGCTATTGCTAACCATCATCCAGGTCACCTTGAACTGTCAAAGCAATTTCTTTGCCCTGGATGGCAACAAATTGACTTGCAAAAAATACAATATAATAACTCAACCGGTTAGTATATTGTACCAAGTACAAGAACTAATAAATTTTATATTATTGACTAGTCCATAGGATATGCACTTGTCTCACTGCACTTGGTGGGACTTCATGCAAGCATCAGACAGCAGTCTCAATAAAATATTATGCAGGTCTTTCAATTTTTTTTCAGCTTTGTCTCTTGATGACTGTGTAAAATATAATTACATTGCATGTGATTGGTAAATGTGTTTATATTATAAGATTATGCTTAAAATATTAATTTTAATATAATTGAAAGGCATAATCATTGAAAATCCAACTTTTTTCACATCTTTGCGGGAATCAACTAATAAACAAGACAATAAAGTAATTAGTGAAAGAAGTGACAAAACAGCAAAAAGTCAAGTGAGGAAATAAGTGATGTTCAGTCACTTAAAGACATTGAAATTAGATCACATTTTAAGCTTTTTAATATTTTATAATTTGTAATAACTCAAAATTTGTTTAATAGCTACATAGCAGCAAAGATTTGAACAAGTGTATAGTATCCATTGAAAATTCTTTCAACATATTATTGATGATATCAAGAATAATAGCCAACTTCTTACAGGCATTAAACATTTCATAAAAGGATATGAAAAATCTGAATCTCTATCAATGGGCAAGTTGACATCTTATCTATTTCAACAAAATTTTTTGTCGCAGCTATTTGTATTACCAATGTGCACTGTAAATTGCATTATATATTGCTTTATTCAATTGTAAAAAAAAATAAAATTCTTAGCATTAGTTGAAAAAATTTTACATTGGTTAAAAAAAAATCTGAAAAAAAATTGATTGTTTAATTTCCGGACCATCATCCGGACCATCATCCGAACCCAACCTAGACACATTTTCTGGGTGCCAATAAGTGATAGTAGTAATAGTGTTTAGGAATGTCGTGTATGCGTTATTTAATAGACATTATATGTATTTATTTCGAAAAAAAATAAAAGCCGTGTAAAATCTAAATTAAAGTTATTATTATAAAACTGAATTAGTGTATTGTAAAATTATAATATATGTTTTTTAGAGCATTATTCATTTTTAAATTATTAATTTTTTAAAAGTTCGCGAGTAGTAAAATTTTATCCGAGATTAGCCGGTACTCTATCCGGGGTAGGATCGACAATTTTTCCGGGGTATCTCAACAACCAATCAAAACGAACTTCTGCTATGCTGGTGAATCGTCCAATGGATTTTACAACTTACGACAAGTTACGGTCATAATCATATGATCCCATTGCTTCATAATTAAAAATAATATCATTTACATTGTTAAAATTTCCATAGTTACAGTACTACTAGTAACAAGATTTATGGGTGTCGAAATTCAAAAATATTACTTGATTATTGTTAATGATTATTGATTTATGCTCCTTTTGAATTCCGACATCATCTATAACGATAACTGGTAGTTATCGAGAATTTTTCATTCAAAACTTAAAAAATACTGTCAGTCCTTTTTCTCAATATTTACCGTTTTTTTTTAACATTTTAGAAGAATATTTCTCGATAAAATTAATCGTTAAGAAACTTTTAAAGTTTTAGTTAGTAAATCTGCGCCGCAAATATTTAAGACGTTTATTGCTCATCATACAAGCCGAAAGACTAGGAGCTATCCTAAATCTGAAGTGAAAAATGATACATTCAGAATGCTCTGAATGAACACATTATCGTTGTTTACATTTTTTATTAGCATGTAGCATTAATACATTTTGCAGTGCAAAATAAAATTTAACTGCAGTACAAAATAAAATTTAAACAGCTATAAAATATAAGTATACTGAAAGACGGTAATATTAATCGTACACCAGGTTAAGTATATAAGCAAATTTAGATTATTGTACATATTTATATAAACCTACAGTAAATCATCATTTCTAAATTATCATACCTAAATCACCATACCTAAATCACCATACCTAAATCACCATACCTAAATCACCATTTCTAATCACCATTATTCCCATCAATCAATTATTACCTCGCCACCAGCCCAACAAACAAAAAATGAGGTCCCAATAATATAGAATAAGGAACACATACGCCAAATAATGCTCCAATCATTAGTAACTTCTAATATCCAACCGGTTAATGCTATACCAAAAAAAGCTGGGATCATTGCACAAGTATTTCCTAAACCATATATTACACCCGAATATTTTGGTGCAATATCCAACTACGTATAATTGACGGAGTTTAATTTTATATTAAATGAGTAAATTAATAATAATAACAATAAATAAATGAATAAGTGAATTAATTAATTAATTACTTGAGATACACATAAACCCGAGACATGGAATGAATATAATGTATATCCTATCGACATTATCAGTAATCCTTCATGAGATGTTTTTGCCCAATATGTTACCTATAAATTATTTATAAGTAAAAGAAAAAAATTAAGAATAAATAAACCAAAAAATTTTTGTATGCTTACAAGTAATAGAGATAATGACATTCCAAGGCTTCCAATTATAAAAACAGTTCTCCGTACATTTAAAACGTGAATTTTTAATTGATTAATTGCATAATCGCAGATATAACCAACTATAGTCCCAGTTATGATGTATAGAAAGTAAGGTAAAGCTAATAGATTTAAAATTTATAAAATTATAAAATTATAAAATTATAAAATTTATAAAGTTATGAAGGGTATAAATAAAAATGTAATAAAATCAATATACAGTAAAACAAATAATATTAAGATTTTATACCAGTGTAATATCCAACTAAATTAATATCTAAATGAAAATGTTCGTAATAAAATATTGGTAACCAATTAAGCAGAATAAAGAAGTTACTACCATTAAAAAAATGACCAATCATAATTGCCCACACTTCACGACGAGAAAGTAATAATTTCAAAGGAATTTTATGTATTCTATGTGATCTTGATGATATTTGATCCTTTGGTAATAACATAACATTTTCACTTTGAGGAAGATCAAGATTGTCATCAGAAGGAGTAATATATTCACTTGAACATGATAGATGGTGATCCATTTCATTTTCAGGACAATCAGTCGATTTATTAATCGATTTTCTAATGGAATTATTTTCCAAAATCCAATCTAATTCATCTTTACTGATTCCTGAATAATCTCTGGGATCGCTTTTCCCGTAAAAATGCCAAAAAATCAACCAAATAAAACCAATAATTGAGAATACCCAAAAAATACTTTCCCAACCAAACTGACTAGACCCTAATAAATTTGAAATTGGCATGGTGATTACCAAACAATAAAATTTGAAACAGATATTACAGAAACAGCTCTAGTTCGTTCCTGAGTTGGAAACCATTTTGAGATTAAAGAGATAACACATGGAAAACATACACCTTCACCAATTCCTAAACAAACCCTGCACAGTATAAGCATGTATAAGTTTATTCTGGCAGAAATTGGAGTAAGTAAAGTAAAGAACGCCCAGGTTGCGGCAGCTAGAAATAAATAGATAAATAACTCAGAAATAACCAAATTTAATTTAATTTATTATTAAGTGGAAATACTACTCACCTATACCCAATATCTTCTTACCACCGAATTTATCGGAAAGCGCACCACCTATAACTTGTGTCATACAATATCCAATATAAAATGATGACGATATGAAGCCTTGTATCTTAAGGCTCCAATTGAATTCCTTAGCCATATAAATTATGGCTATTGCCATATTTGATCGATCTGTCATGAAAACAATTGAATAAATAAATAATTATAAATAATTTAACGAACGAATTTGGCAAGCTTTTTTTTTTCTAAAAAAAAACGACAAATAAAATTTTAACATTAGAATATACCAGCATAACTGATCATAATGGCAAAAATACAAAGAATAATAATTATAATTCTTTTGGGGACATATTTAGACCGCCAGTTACTAAAATTTTTAAATGAATTAGAAGATAAAAGATAAAAAAAATAGGACACTTGGAAATAATAACTTACGTGAATATTGATGCCATAATGAATCTAGACCAAAAAGTTACACATTAATTGTTATCAATTTGCACAATAGTATTTAATAAGCTTAAAAGATTTCTGATTTGCAAAGTAGTTTATAATGAATCTAAATTCGCATAGTAGTTTATTATAAATCTAAAGGGACATATTGATTATAACAAAATTTTTATATAAGCGAAAAGCTTTACCTTTTTACGTTTAGTGGAACAAATAAACATGCACAATAAATCATTATAAGTACTATTTATTCCCCGCGAAGCGGGGAATAATGAAATATTTCCCCGGATTTTTTCGGCTCCGATAGGAGCCA